TTGAAAGTTCATAGACTGAAATTGGAATTACACAAAAGTACACTATACACCTATGTTTTGATTCGATAAATAGGATTATTTATTTTTTCATAATATGTGAAATGAGAGTGTAGTATGTGCTTCTTATTCCTTTTTGACAGTTACTAATATTTCAATAGTTATAGACTATGGAAAGTACAGCTATACACACAACTATATTAAGAAAATGTTTAACAATAACCCCTTTTCAAAGTAGATGCATACTGAGCCCCTTTCAAAATAGATTCAATTAATATAAACATATAACTTTGTTAATAATATTGTTGAAATATAATTTCGTAAAAACATATAATCATGAAGAATAGTCATTTGAAACTTCAACAACTAAACTAGTGATAGAACAAATATAAGGTGATTTTGTATGCAATTAAGTCTTGTCTAAAATGAACATGTTGCTTTCCAATGTAACAAAAAACCAAAATAAATAAATAAAGATGCATACTGAGCCCTTTTCAAAATAGATTCAATTAATATAAACATATAACTTTGTTAATAATATTGTTGAAATATAATTTCGTAAAAACATATAATCATGAAGAACAATCATTTGAAACTTCAACAACTAAACTAGTGATAGAACAAATATAAGGTGATTTTGTATGCAATTAAGAACATGTTGCTTTCAACTGTAACAAAAAACCAAAATAAATAAATAAAGTATTACCCGGACTAGCGTATAAGTGGAGTTGTTATCTTCTTTAGCAACATAGGAATAAACATCTATGCTGTTTTTTTGCAACTCTACCACTGCTACTAAAGTCCCAATTAGGAACTTGAAGCATGAAACAGAGTGCAGTTATAGAAGCTCTTTCTTCTGAGATAGAAGCATCAAAATTTGTAATTTCAGTAGTAACACTTTGAGCAGCCCCTAGTGCCCAACAATAAAAATTCTGTGGAATAAACAGAGAAAAAGAAGAAGAAATGAGAAGGTGAGTAGCACAAAGATAAATTTTCTTGAGTCTAATCATGTACAACTTTCAGATTCTTTTTCAATTTAAGTTTCTTCTGTTATTAATACACTTGTATGAAGTAGGTGGGATATATCATCATTTTAGTGAAATGCCATGCAGACCACCAGCTTCATATACTCAAAGCCAAAAACCTCATTCAAAAAAAATCTAAGGGGTGTTTCTTTTTTACTTAATGGGTTAAGCACTTAAACTGGACAAAATGAATTATTAAATCAAGCAAAAAAATCTATTTGTCTTTTGGAATGTAAGGGTAAAATGGTCATTTGGTCTCATTCATACGGTTTATTCAGTCTAGAGACAGACTATGTGTATACAACACTTTATCTAGAGAATCATCATTAACCATACATGACATAATGAGAAAAGAAAATAAACAACTCCTAAGAATAAGTTGTTATAGGAAATGGTTTAATGATGATGATAAACAAAATGAAAAACCTTGAGATAATCATGTTCTATAGATTTTCGGCATTGCTCATGGAACTCCCTAGGAAGGCTCATAGCAGTAGAAGTAGATGGAGAAAATTCAGACACCTGCAAAATTATTTTTTAGGATGAGAATTTTGTTTAAAAGAAAATTGGTACTCAATAACATTATACAAACATATACCAGTGACTCAAGGAAATTGATTCCAATGAACTACACATCTAGTCCACGGTTCCCAGCAATAGCCATATTTATCTGAAGCCAACAAATTACAATTAGTTTCAGCCATTAAAAAAATGAAGTTTCCATCTACGAATTAAAACTTATAATAATTAGTTTTAACAAGGATGAATTTACTTCAGGGACTTACCTTAGAGAAAAATCCATCCTTTTCTGCAGCAGTAAGGATATTCTTTCAACACCCTCGACTCCTTCCTGTATTCCATGTTACATTGTATCATATTCACATCACCACAAGAATAAACTAATCAAACCACTTAAATTTCAAGATCTATGGGGATCTCAAAGGTTATCATTCATAAATTTTTTTATGAATATTTATGAAGTTTCAGTTTCAATTAATGAAATCTTACTTAGCAGTTATCTTATATTACAAGCAGGAAAAGGAGTACCACCTTTTCCTGACTTCACCAAGCTCATATCTCTCTTTATCACCACCTCCATAATAACAACCAAAAAATGCAAGCATATCAGACTCAAACCTTAAATGAACAACAATGTAACGATTTGTCATCTTCCTAATTTTCATCACTAGATGACCTCCAACATCTTGCAATGGTTTTGTAAAGCGAAAAGCATGGTAATTGACTCAACATCTTAATCTTTAGCAAGCATATAGTCAAACTTTGTCAGCTGAACAACTTACACACAATTCGTTCATCAAAATTCACAAATCAAAAGATTTCGGTAGTTGTAAACTAAATGAAGAATAATTACATGTCGCCTCATGAGAACAGGAAGAACTTCATGAAGGTAATAGTGAGGTTCAGATTTAAGTGGGACCCACATGGTGTATGGGGGGTTTTCTAGTGATCGCATGTATTTTTTAGTAACACTTTTCACAACAACCACATCCTTTGCAAGGAAAGAGATAAACCAATCAACATCAAAAAAGTTTGAAAAGTCACTGCAAAGTTTATTAAAAAAATAATAATAAGATAACAATCATAGTTTAATGAAATCTTAGTTTCAGTTTCAATTAATGAAATCTTACTTACCAGTTAGCTCACCTATCATCCTTCCAAAATGAATGATGATTAAACTCAGGAACCACAGTTGAAATCTTACTTCACAGTTATATTATATTACAAGCAGTTGTCAAACAAGAAATTCATTTTTTTTTCATTAACTATATTTTAGATATATAATATATTAACTAAGTAGACTAATACAATAATTAGAAATCCATTTGTGGAAAAACTCAAACTTGAGTTGCAATGCCAGCATGATCAGTTCCAGGGAGCTAGAGTGTAGGTCTGCCCTTCATCCTATTGTATCTGATCATAATATTCTGGAACACAATTGCAAATATGGATGGTTTGTTTATTTACACATTGAATGAAGAAAAAAGATGAATTTTACAAAGTTTTTATGTGAATCTATGTTGTTAGTAAACATTTACCAAACCTCAAGATTTACAAACATAGAATGTCCCTTGTGCAATGAACCAGTTACTCAAGGGTGGAGCTTGAACAGTTAATTTTTTTTTTTTTTTTTTGGGGGGGGGGGGGGGGCACAAAACACCATTGGAGCTTGACATGGTATTGTGGATTAAAGAGATATAATATAATAATATATATGCTGGTGTGCATCGATTGGAAACTAGCTACAAAACACCATTGGAGTGGCTTCTTTGTATCCAGGTAAAGATTGATCTTCTTTTCTTGTGTAGTGAGTTATGGTGTCACCTACTCTTGCATCTGCTACTGATCTTATTGAAGTTTATATGTATCCCACCTTCAAATGTGAAAAAGACCAAAATACCCCCCATGAGTAGAGTAGATATTTCAATTGTAAGAAACATGGGAGTGTGTTGTTTATTATTTGAATAGCAGTAAAAATGTATCCTACCTCTTAAAAAGAACTTTTTTGTTAAATGACCAAAATACCCCGGTACGTAGATATTGGAATTAAAAGAAACATGGGAGTGGTATTATTACCTCACCATCATATAGTTCATCAACTTGCAACTGATTAGGGGATAAAACTCCAATTTCATCACCAAAATATTCTTGCATCATGTCATTTGTTTATATATATATATATATATATATATATATATATATATATATATATATATATTAAACAAGTATAATTAATCTCGGTATTATTACAACAAGCCTAAAAAACAAGAGAAGAGTGGTTTTTGTTTTAACCTTTCCACTAGCCATAAAATAAATATTGTCACCTTTCTTTACATTTCCATCAATAACACGGAAATAGACAATAACGCCCCTATACGCATCATAGTAACTGCAAAATAAAATTCATGGATATGAATTATGAAAACTTACTCAGTATTATTATTCCTGTAAATATGACACCTATCATAAAAAGTGTAAAATGGTAAATTGCACAAAAGTCATTAAAAAAAGATTGACACTACGTTATTTTTTTGTTAAAATTTAATCACAAAGTTTTCTAATTTTTGCAATGTTGACCACTTGACTGCTTAACCCAGTTACCCGCTAATGTGGCACGATGATGTGTAAAGATTGAAAAAAAGTGGTTGATGCTTAATGTAATAAGTTCTTATTTTCAAATTATTCAGAAATCAGTTTTTGATCTTGTCCGGTTCGAAACCAAACCAGTTATATATTAATTTATCAGCTTTATTTTTTGTTATAGTTTGAAAGAGAGATTGTTTTAAATATAAAAATTGTGAATCTAAAGAGTGTAATCAATAAAGATAGAGGCTTGATGATTGCCATTAGAACATCTTCTACATCCTGTTAACACTTGTGTTAACCAAACAGAATAAATTGAAATTAAGGACATAATCTAGATGAAAATCAATAAACATACTAGAAAAACTTAATAGATGCAAAATTACTGATACTCAATAAAGATATAGGCGTGTACATTGCAAAGTTCTAAGATTTACATTCTGTTAAATAGATTCTCTAGGAGATACCCCAAAATTAGACATGGTAACAGTAAATCAAATGTTTGACATTAATGAATTGCTGAATGTTGATTGCACTTTTCAAGCGGACAAGAGAGATGAGAGAAATAGAGAGAAGAAAAAAAAACGGAGAAACTGAGGGACATACTTGATTGCAGCGGCCAACATTGGTGACTGGTGAGAGGTGGAGTAGGGTGATTGATTGCAGCGATGGTGAAACCAGGTCCAAACTCGATTGAACGAAAATGAGGCGGCGATTAATCTAATTTTGACTTTCAATCTTCGGTGTTAGGGCTTATCGATTGTAAGAGGAAGGAGACAGACATGCACTCGCACTTACAACAATCAGGGGAAGGGTGTGGAGAATACCCAGGAAAAGACGTAAGGCTTCAGTGAATTTACCAGTGATGGTGGCTTTCTAGCCAACTTTGAGTTTTTCTTCTAACTGAGAGAACTCGAACACGAGTGCAGGTAGGGCCCCGACGTTAGGGCTTGTTGACTCACTCCAGCCACGCTCAATAGCCAATGAGATCAATGGACCTGAAGTGAAAGCACGCAGGAAAGCATGACTCCCCATGTGAAGACCAAGAAACAGTGATTTCAACAGTGTGAGGTTCTTTATGCCAAGTTGGTGGCTGAGCAACCGCATAGCAGTGTCAAAGTTTCTGACCGCCGCATGTTCAGCCGCAAGAGATGATTTATGGACCCTAGCATGTCCTAGAGAGAAGGGAGGTGGCGATGCCTTAGGGTTTGTAGAGAGAAGCGAGATCTAGAGGAAAAAGTGAAGAAGCGGGCACTTCAAAATTTTAGAATCGCAAAGGATTTTATTTTATGTCTCTAAAAACGCGCGTTTGATAAAAAAATATAAAGCGACATTTCTAGAGGACACACATTTAAAACAAGTGCCCTCCGTGTTTGTATTTTTTTGTTGGATATTAATTTAAAGGCGCGCAAAAATGCGTGTCCTCTATCCTTGAAATTTTGGAAGGCTGACATTGTTTTGAAGGTCACACAAAAATGCGTATTGTAAATCAGTGAGTGTCATTGTTTGCGCGTCATTAAAGTGTATTTTTCTTGTAGTGGAGTCAAGTATACGCTAGTACATTGTTTTACAATAACAAGGGTTGGATTCAAAACCACACACGTGTGAACAATTTACAAATACATTTCAAGAATACTAAATAAGAAACTTACTAACAATCATTTATTTCAGAATGATTGAGATCTCATCGTTATTATACACGTAACATCTATATACTTTTCTAGGAGTTAATACGTTTAGGTTTTTAGTACATTTTAAAAACATAGTTAAAGTCCTGATATTATAACCAGAATCTCCATCATAGGGATTGAAACAAATGTGTATAGATCTATATAGGATTGATAATCCCGCACCTAAACTATTAGCTACAGTTAGACCGACAAGTTTGGGGTGACAATTGTTATCAACATTTTCGACGCCTCCAAAGCGTCATATCAGGTCATCTAGTCATAGTATGGTTATAATAAACTCATGAAAAAGATATTAAACAATACGACTAGTTTATAATTAACTAAACTTGAGTACATTTCAAAATACTAGCTTTACAAAGATACAATTTACAATTTTACATTACAGATTACCATAATAGCTGGTGGAACCAGGCACAATTACCTTTACATGTTTTACAAAGGAAATTCAAATACATAATAGTAGTTTATAAACAGAACGGTTTTATGGGATTAAAACTACTTTTCATATACAAAAGAAAATATAGGATTTTTTGGAATCGTTTTACATATTCAATGAACAGAAAACAAGCTTTTGAACATAAATACTTATGCACTCACTCAACTTTATGTTGACACTCCTTTTCAAATTACTTGTATTATCAGGGAATCGGTAGACAGGTACTCCCCAAGCTTCTGAGAAGACGGAGCCTTTTTGAGTCATGTCTTATATATTTTGTATCAACTATTTTAGTGACAATATTATATGATTGAACACATGTATAAACTTTTACTTATTAATGTAGTGGTTGTTCGTACTTTTATTTCTATAAATGCATGTGTTGTGATACTACAAATGAATTCATCCACCCCCGGACGTTTCCGCTGTCTAGTTTGGGGATGTGACACATTGGTAGCAGAGCATTGTTTATTATATCAACCAATAAAAGATATACAACTATAAATACAATGAGGCCTAAGTGCTCTGAATAATAATATATTTTAAGAATATAACGATACTTTATAAAAGTATACATACATGCTTATACATATATACATACTAGAACAAGTATCACAAGAAGAACAGAACATAAGTATTTAAAGGTTGAACACTACGGTCAAACCTGGACAGTTATGTAATCATATCTAGGATCAATATAGGCTGATCAACTATATTTATTTGAGATATGATCGGCATGTGTTTGGAAGTGATGTGGTGTTGCAACAGTCTTAAAACTTACCTAACTCTATTCAAGGGATTTCTAGATCAGAACAAAAAGTTAGAATACTATGGGAGTATTTTATGATGCTATAAGATAACAACAAGTTTAAAACATACCAAGTGCATCACATTAAAATCCTATGGGAGTATTTTAGGCACTATAAATAACTTATGTGAGAACTTAAAGGCCTTTCTGGTAGGTCTATGATTCCGGAATGTATACTTTCAAGTTTTTATATAATTGAGATTTTATAGATTTAGATTTTGTGATCTATGCTTCACTACCTGTTCCATGTTTGGTTGCGGTTTTGGAGTAGGATCACTTATTCGAAGGTCTATTTAATCTTAATTTATACACAACTTATATACATTGTGCAGTTATAGGAGGTCCCAGTAAGGATTGCTGTAACAAGCCCAAGTTTTCCATCGTCGAAAACCCGTTCTACCCGTAAAAATTCACCGTTAGTCAATTGTTTCTTTTCCATTTTGGGTTAAATTAATTAAATTTATATATTTATTTTAATCCATTGAGTGTCCAAACCCTTTAGGAACTCATGAAACTAGCTCAAAAATGTTTATTTCAAAAAGTTTAGAAACGTCCCCGCCGAGTGACGGAAACTTAATCGGGTGCGACCAAAAGCCCCGTTTAAGGTCAGTATCGGGTAGAATTCCACCGTGTCCAAGTTTTAGGACCTATATAAACGTTTTTAAGCACCCATTTGAAGCTTTTTCTTCCTCTCTCTACTCTCTCTCTAACCTCTCTCCTAAATCCAAAGTTAAGGGTCCAAATTATCAATTTAAGGCTCCAAATCTTTGAGGTACCTTCCATAACTTGTTGTACAACCTCTCTAGCTTTAGAATTCGAGTTTGAACATTGGATTAGGACCATTATTATGAGTTTACGGCCCTAGAATAGTACTAGGCCGTAAACTCAAGTAAATGGGGTTTTTAGAGCAACAAAACCCTTGCAAACCTCAAATGGACCTTAGACATGGCTAAATGACTTTATGGAATGGACTTAGAATGCCTTAAACTATAACTTGAAGCATTGTATATGAGTTTACGGCCATTGAAGGTGCCTAGGCCGTAAACTCACATTTAAAGGGGTTTTAAGCCCTTAAACCCTCCCTAAACTCAATCAAGCCCTAGTTATGATTTTTAGAAATTATGTAATGGACTTGGAACTCATTAAACATCAATTTTGAGAGGTTTGTATGAGTTTACGGCCAAGGCATATGCTTGGGCCGTAAACTCCTCAAACATGAGTATAAAATCACTTCTAAAGTGTTAGAATGCCATCCAACACCACCAAAAGTCTTGGGATAAATTAGGGAACCAATCAAAAATAGTTTAGAAGCCTTAAAAACATCATAAACCCTCTAATTGAGAGTTTACGGCCAGAGCATATGCTCCAAGGCCGTAAACTCATAGATGTATGCCATTTGAAGTCCTAAACTCACCCTAAGCCTTGTAAAAATTAGTTGAATCACTTGTGATTAATCCTTGGCCTTCAAATTAATTTAGTTGGATATGGGTAAGAGTTTACGGATGTAAACTCTTAGTTTACTGCCATAAACTCTTCTATTAACCCATATAATGATTTAATCCCTTTCAAATGTCCAAAAGCCAAACCTAACAACACCCATTATTTGATTTAAAGCCATTTAGCACATAAAAACACCCACCATGAGTTTACGGCCGTAAACTCATGGGGATGTGGTGTTTAGGCCGTAAACACTCCCTAAGAGTCTACCATTGGAGAGTAAACTCTAAATCCTAGCCATTCATGTCCTAAAACGCCACCCGGGTCCCTTTTAAACGCTCATTTTGGAGTGTTTTCGTGTCTTAAAATGTTTAAGTGTATCTAATTAGTTATTTGAGTCTAAATAGATATATATTGTGTATTATTTAATATTACATAGGAACTTCACTCATATTCAAACCTCGGTTCGACGTTTAGCTTTCCATCCGACACAACTTCGCGTCCGGTGAGTTCATACCCCTACGCTTTTTCCGTGTTTTTCAATGTTTTCAGGGGGGGAATACAAGCAAACTATAACTGTTTTTGAATTTATAACATTGATATGTTTCAAATAATATCTGGTAAACTTATAAACACTTTAGCCCCTTATGTATTATGCTGAGCATAAGGGATGATTTATCAATTACAACTAAATGAATTTTAGTTAAGAAAATAACCAAACTAATCAAATTATTATGGGAATAATTTGGGATTCTTTATTGTTCATTTTATCATGTACTGATGTGTATATAAAGTTATTAGATAAAATATGTCTGATTCAGTTTATCTCTGTATTATTTGAATGTATTGTCAGATAGTCCATTGTATGTATCTATATTCGCGGTATTACATTTCATAAATTTTTGTATGTCGATATCGTATGAGAACCCTGTGAATAGTTTAGTACTAGTTTGTGAGATAGTCACTACCCTTTATGGATGATCAGTAAATCCTCCCCGGAAGTGTAACCAGAGTCTCCTAGAGGGAGAGCGCGGAATTTGTGAATAGATCTATTCAGGACTGACAATCCCACACCTTAATTGTTAGCTACAGTTAGGCGGGCACGCCTGGGGTGACAAATTTCTGGATATCGTTTCAACGTCTGACAAACGTCAAGGAGGTCTCGTTTTCGTATTAGCATGGTTACCCGACTCACAACGTGTATTAATATTAGTTTATTCACAGTTTGGGTTTTAGAATCTATATCTCTTTCGGGATAGTGATCCCATGGTATTATCAAACTATTTTGTATCTAGTCCGGGATAGTGATCCCATGGTTTTGTATCTATAACTTGTACGGGATGTTTTTCCCCATGGTCTTTATCTATATCTGTTATGGGATAGTAATCCCATGAATTTTAACTATATCTTATACGGGATAGTAATCCCATGGTTTTAAATCTATATTTGGTACGGGATGGTAATCCCATGATTTAAATTTATAATTAGTATTGGGTGATATTTTATAGCTTTAAATCTACATCTATCGATAGTTTTGTGTATATCAAACTGTCTCATATTTGGTACGGGATAGTAATCCCATGAAATTTTCAGTAAATAGTTTTATGAGTTAAACTTTACAATGTGATCTTAAAAACTAAAACCTTACTTTTAGGAAAATATGGGATTTTCCTGGGTTAGTGAATTCATATATCTAGTATCGTGTGAGTAATCAATTAACTAATAATTACTTATAAGAAAATATGGGATTTTCTTGGGTCGTAACCTTTTTAGAATTTAAAAGGAATCTTGTACAATTTCATAAAAATAAACCGCTTATGAACTCACCAGCTCTTTGCTGATTTTCAAACTGCTTGTATTCTCAGGTTCTTCTTATACAGGTATCCCTGCGTTCTTTTGTTGAAGACGGAGCGAATGGAAGTCACGTCTTTCTTTTGTATAAACTATATAACTATGAAACTTGTACTACTTTACTTTTCAACTGATGTAATGATATCTATGTAATGTAATGTAATGTTTTGTGTTTTACTTCGCTTACTATGTACATTGGATTTGATACTCAACGTGGAGTCCGCCCCGAAA